TGAATTCAGTCTCAAGTCTGCAGCGCCCTCGATTTTTTGACACTAAGCCCGAGGTGTAGTGTAGCAAGTCCAAAACTGCGTAGCTCTGAGGAGACAAGGGCAAATCCTTGTAGCGTCACGTCCGTAGACAGAGAGTCACAGACCGTAGTCTGACCAGCACTGTCCGGAGACATAGGCGTGAATCCGTAGATTCCCAGAGAAGCGATGGCTAAAACTTCCCTATGGGTTCCAGCGCGACTTCTTTGAATCCGTAGATTCTTGGTTTAATATCCATAAATATATTGTATAACGGAAGTCCATGGGATAGTCCATAAACTTTCTTTCTCAATCCGTAGACTGAATAGGCAAGCCCAAGTCCGTAGACTCAATGTCCGTAGGCCGTGCTGTTTCCATCTGTGACTGGCACTGCGTCCAAGTCAAGTGGCTATTATTTAGTTCTATATGAAGTACTTCCATCAAATGGTGGGCTCCAGCCAACTCATCGATCAAGAGGCCAGTGTAACCTTTCCGCCTGCACTCAGCTAGCAATGGCTTCAGGGGCCGAAGCCATCTCTGCCACGTGCAGCCTTGCGTTCACTTTGAGGATCGGCAAGCCATCTCTAGCATGCTCAGGGACATTGGCCCTGAGACGGACATTGTTGATCTCCCTGTCCAGGGAGGAATCCATCTGGTTATTGCAGATGGTCAGTTCGCCCACACAAAGCAGGAGGTTCCATTTGGCCAACAGAGCTCGGCTGCGGTGATCAGGGACGCAATTTTGAGTCTTGAGAAGTGACTCCATGGCATTTTCCCAAAGTTCGGTCTCACAGATGCTGGCCATGGCCCCTGCCAGCCAGAGCAAAAAGCTCTCAGATACGAAACCCCCAGCCACCGCCAGCCATACCACACAAGTAACAAGTGAATGAAAGGACTCCGAGATACAGCTGCAGAAAGAAAGCATGCAGCATGCATATCTGGGATTGCCAAGTCGTCTTACATGTCACATGCGACCAATTTTCAGACCACTTATAATTAAAACATTGTGGCTTCTGTTGCTTTTGTTGTTGTTGTGGTTGTTGTTGGTTGTGGTTGTGGTTGTGGTTGTGGTTGTGGTTGTCGTTGTTGTTGTTGTTGTTGTTGGTGGTGGTGGTGGTGGTGGTGTTTTTTGTCTTGAATGGCTGGTTTGTCTGTTTGTCGCAGGTCTGTAAAAAACAAGCAGTGATTGTCCCTTGTCGTGGTGGTCGTGGTTGTAGATGAGGTGTCGTGGTGGTTGTCAGTTTGTCTTCTTGATGCCCTTGTTCCTAGTAGCGATGCTCTTTGTTCCCACAAGCGATGCCCTGGTTCCTGATAGCGATGCCCATTTGTTCCAAACCCACGCCACAATAACCGCAGCAACAACAACAGCAACAACAACAACAACAACACTTGTTACTACAACTACTGTAACTAAAGCAAACACATACAACAAGAATGTAACAAACAAACAGCCAAAGACAACCAAAATGCAACCACGCAGCCGCTAAACAACACCAAGTCACCCCTGCTGTATTTGCTAACATACTGTGGCACGGGAAGCTTGTGGTGGCCGCCTGCGCAACATCTGCACCGAGCAGGTTAGCCCAGGTCAACAAAATAGCCGTCAAGGAATGAATGCCGAACTGGAAAGTATTGACCGCAGTCTTCTGGCCATTCATACACTACTAGGGCTTTGCGAAAGCGAGGCAAGGCAACACTGCAACTCATAGGCTTCCCGCGGAAAGCAAGCAAAATATCTTGCTTAGGGCTTTCTGCACGAATCCGCCGCACTTCTTCCATCAGCTGCAGTCCCCAGTTGGCACTCAAACAACCTCGCTCCAAGGAACCCCAAGCCATACCTGCCCGCCTTGATTTTGTTATCCAGCATCGGCCATGACAACAGCCCTCAGAGCTGGAAATTGAAGCTGAATCCAATCTCCGAACATCGGAGAAATGCAGCCCGGCAAGCCACATCAAAAGCAAGCCGCAAAGAAAAATCGAGTCATCACCCGCACCGGCCAAAACAGCTCTTTCCAAATCTGGCACCACGTCTACGGGTAGCAAAACGTCTGCTACCTTGGAGTGGCACCTTCCTCCTCCAAATTTTGCCCTCGGGCGGCTCACAAAAGGTCTGCGCCCTTGGAATGGCACCTTCGTCAAACAAACTGTATGGATCAGCCCGCTGGCGGATCTGTACAGTATGAAACTCAAACAACTCCGGTTGAGACCGTTTGCATTTAACAGTTGTTTTGGGAAGCATCCCTCTTCGTCTGGCATCATCTGGTTCAAGGTTCCAGGCCATACACGTATGACAATCGTTCAAATACCTATCCCAGAAATCGCGTTGACACGAAAGCTTCGCATGAAACGGTGACTAGTTTCAACAATGTTTCAACAGCCTTAACCGAGTGGTTAGATTCGGGAAACACTCAAACGCAGAAGACATCAGCAAGAACAATACAAAGCAACCGCCAAAAAAGCAAAGGAATAAAGGGTTTCTTTGGGCTGGGCATGGGTCTTCACTTCTTTAAGATCTAAATGGGTTTGTGCCAAGTTTGTGCTAGGGTTTCGCTCTTTTTTGGATTTTTGGCTGTTGCTCAGGGCCTCTCTTCTTAGGGTTTCTGTTGGGTGGCTTGGGGCCAAAGGCCCAACCCAGGGACCAAAGGACAAGCGCACCAAAGGACTAGACCTAGCTAGGACCAGGGGACCAAGGGACCATGGAATATTCTTTTGTTGATGCTTATCAAACTGTTTGATGATTGTTTTTGATACCTATCCCGCCCAACACTAGGTCTTGCTTCTCCAACTCTCTTACTTTGGCCCGCTTTTTCCGCTCATCTTCCACCGTCACCGCACGACTGGGATCCCCGGCCGGGGCTCGGACTCCCACTGACTCTCGGCAGATCTGATCGGAGAGGATCCACGGGAGCATCCAATGTCTGTCATTGACCATTCCGTGGCGCTCTCAACATGAATATTCCTTGACTATAAAGGTGCTGAACAGTGAGAGTGTCTAACCTAGCAGAACTCATTGGTTGGACCCCAAAACATATCTTGACATCTCACTGCATTGAACTTTCTCGAAGCCCCATCAGCAAATGAGCGACAAAGACTTCCTCTAATTTTCAAACACACTGACACCAACGCACCTATGGTCATTGAAGCTCGAGATTGCTCCAACCGCTGTCAGAGATCATTCAGATTGCTGTTGCGAAATTAGACATGCAAACCGCTGCAACACCGACGTCAATGAGAAAAACTGCCCCCAAAGGTCCACCATTCTGTTGCCTGTGGTTGGGGCGCCCACCACTTGTGCCGCATCCCTCAACGAGGCCATGGCGTGTTGGCTCTGGGCACTGAATGCCACGTCGTTGTGATCGAAGAGTTTGTGGATATTGGAGATTGGGAGGTTATTGGAACAATGTCCCCCCAGTGTTGCAAGAAGAAGTGGACATTGCTCATGTTCACAGGGTTAAGAAGGGGAAAAGCCACCCCCCCAGGGGCCCCGCAGGAAGGCATTGCAACTTCACCACTGACCGTTAAACGCTTTTGTGCGAGCCCCTGGTCAGGTAGTACTTTGGCCACTTGAAGTACTTAAATGATGCTCCAAAGTTGGGCTTGGCAGCAAATATATATAATGAAATCTGATTTCATTTGAAGCAATGTAACATTGCATTACTCAAGATGAACACAGATGAAACTGCATGAGATGCTTCTTGTTTAATTTCTTGTTTGGTATTATTAACATATATGATTCAATTATATATATTTAACATAAATTAACAAATACTTCTGGAACGGCGACTCGAAGGACTCGCGTCTCCGAAAAAGGATCGAAGCCGTGTGACGAAGTGCTGGGAGTGGAAAACAAGAAGGAGAGTTGTTGTTTAGTTCTTCACACTTTGATTCACCTCGGAGATCTGCTTGTCCACTTGAACAGTTGGCAGTTTCATCTGCATCACCATTCCTTTAAAGCAGAAACCGTACCTGCACACACTGGCACACACCTCCATGAGTACTACCTGCAGTCCATGTGCTGAGCTTGTGATGTCCCACATCTCAAACCGTTCTTCAACCGTACCTGCCATACCTCTGCGGGTTGCCATCAGCATCTGACTTCTGAACATTACATTATTCGAGCCGCGGAAAAGGACATCCTGGACGCTGCGTGTGGTACGGAGCTGCCCTGAGTCGTAAAAAGCAGTGTGCACCTTCCGTTCATATGTGCGACGATCACAACTCATTCTGTCGTAAGGCCATGGTATCGTTTTTCAGGGTTCCAATATGCTCCCATCGTTTTTCAAAGAAAAGCACATTCTTTGACCTAGACTTTCTGCGATGACTTATGTAAAGAACTCTTCATCGCGTGTTTTGGCCCTTGCACATATAGCATGCGAAGCAACAGTCACAGTATGCCTCACAGAACCTTGCTTTTCTCTTTTGGGGTTTCCTATGGTTTGTTGATTTATTTGAGATCGGACTCCCAGTGCAAAAGCCGAGTTCTCGCCTGGTGGCATCTCAATGCCCCAAGTGTGCCCACGACGCTTGGCGTTGGACTGACGTTTGAACACCTCACCACTAGGTACGCATCTCGTGAGGAAAAACCTCAAACAAGAAGCTAGTAGAAACAAGTGCCACGCTAGTAGTAACAAGTGCCTTACTAGTAACAAGAAGCTATGGTTCACGAGCTTCAACTGCAAATTTATCTGGATCGTCCATATGATCCAACTTTCTCTTTCTGGGGTCAAAGTTCCCGGCTATACATCCAAGGTAATTAGAAAGGTTATGCCAACTGTGAGTGTCATGTTGCTCTGAATGATCTCTTCCGGTGATCTGTGAGATCACCTTTGCCAGGTCAACAGTGGTCCCTGTGCACTAAAGGATGCCCCAAGTGCCAACGCTGGTGCGGTCAGCAATCCTCCAAGCTGTTCAAGCCGGTCGAGATAGTGACCTGTCGCCTTCTCCCGTTACACAAACCCAAGTCACACAACAGATCGCCAGATCGCCTTATCCTTCCCTGCTTCCACATCCTCAGGCTCCACCTTGCCACCTGGATCAACACACAAGTTGGGCACGTGGAATGGGTAAGTTTCCAAGCGTTCCAGTGAAGGAAGGCACAAACTTTGCTGTTTGAAACATGGTACTGCTCTGAAGTTACGGAGGCTTAAGTATCAAAAGCCTTGCCTAGTAACAAGAAGCTACTAGGGGCTCTTGGCATCGCTACTAGGAGCAAGGATGCTACTAGGGGCTCTTGGCATCGCTACTAGGAGCAAGGACGCTACTAGTTGGAGAAATCATGAGAACGTCCAAACCGGACCCAAACCGGATCGACCGATCCGAGGGACGACGTGGGAAAATAGGACAAACAACGAAAGACGGAAGAAATTGGACAAACAACCAAAAACATATACTGATATACTGTAAAAAACATCTCTATCTTCATCTTTCTTCCTTTTTGTGTGGGTTCATCACATTCTTTGTCGACAGAACACGGAACTATGCATGTAGGAACAATAGACAAAACCTTCTGGGGGTTTCCGAGTTTCAATGATGTCTGCAGAATGCTGCGGGTCAGAACCTTGGGACTCCTGTTGAATCCTTCGTGGAAAGGAATGGGCTAGGTCCACCTTCTGGGGTAGAGGTTTTGGATTTTGGGGTGATGAGGTCAACACAATCTTTTCTTGGCAGAACGAAAACCTGTTCAACTCCTTCGTCAACGTCGACCACCGCCTGCGAAGGGGTCTGCCGGCACCTTGGAAACCAAGCGCTTCAAAAGGGCCTCGCACTGCAGCATGGCTGTTTGTGGGAGCAAAAGCGCCGGCCAAAAACGCAAGTTCGGTCGTGAAACTCTGGGCATGTTTGGGCACCCTGTGTGAGAAAAGTTGACACTTTGGGTGAAAAAGACACCATCCATATCCATCCATGGTGTGCTACTGTGCTACCAAAGTTTCGATTGTTCTTTACGGTGACAGGGCGTGACTTTCTTGGCTTCTCGAACAAGCTACTGTCCAACGTGTTGTTTTTTTGGATGCCCGTTTTGCAGCAGCCCAGCTGTCTAAGCCAGTCGTGAAACCTCAGAATTTTGGGGGCACAATGTCTGTTGAGGGACTCTTGCAGAGTGTGTCTACGCGCATCTGGATGAGAATTCAACCTAGGTTTTAACTGTTGCCTGTTGTGGTCATTGAATTTGAGACAACAATTCCATCTGGGTCTGGGTACGATTCAAACATAAGAACAACAACAGTTGGACCAAACAAACGTTGGGTTAAGAGCAGCTGGCAAAAGAACCAGCGACCCAAACATGACCAATTCAACTGTGGACTCCCCTCTTTGAGGCAAATAACATATCTCTATCTGTGTGTCAAAAAACAATCCGCAAAGGTCTATAAACTGAGACAGCAAACTCTCCGTGAGGTTTCCATGAGGCTTGTAAGGTGTTAGCATTTCCCCGCAATACGGAGCCATCTAATGCGGCAAAACTTATGGACCGGGTTTGCCCATTGTGGCTTTAAACCGTCCGTCCACAAAATACAAATAAATTAGACTCCACTCTCTTGTGAGTCCGTGTTCAAGGACCGCGACTGCGACTTTGGAACTGATGTATCCTGATTGATACAAAAGAGCGTTCTCTGTGAAAATTCTGAGAAAATCACCCGATGCAACTTTGGTTTGGATTTTATCCACAGGATCTTTCTTAGAACATATTAACGCTAGTTTTTCAAAACCAGGCCCTGGGCCTGCATGTGCACGTCATGCTTCTCCGCTGCAATGTCCAAGCAGGACTTCCCCTCATGATTCCGCGCCTCCAAACGACAAAGGGCTTCAGGCTGCTTTAAACAAATATATATATATATATATATTTGGGTTATTTAGGGAACAAGAAGCTACTAGGAGCAAAGGGCATCGCTACTAGGAGCAAGGACGCTACTAGTAGATCCTGGCCTTACTACCAGGAGCAAGAAGCTACTAGCTAAGTTTCCGAAAAAAAAATCTAGGAACCAAATCCTTAGCGCGAGCTATCCTGCATCCTAAATAGTAGCATACTTGCAGCTAGTAGCTACCTCTAGCTACCTCTACCTACGGCCTACCCCCCCCCACGGGCTAAAAACAAGAAAGAAGCTAGTAGTTCTCTCCGACTCTCTGGGTCTTCCAAAACAAAGAAGGCACATGCCAGCAGCTCAAGAGGAAAGCTGTCTGAGCCTTGCTGTGCACCTCTTTGCTGTCAAAGAGGTCTGCAAAACGACGTCACGTGGGAGAAAAGTTCTCGCAGGCCAGAGAGCTGCCCATCTCGAAACCCTGGAATCCCTTGTCCTAAATTTCAATCATGGCCCAAGAATGCCCTCACGGGTTGCAAATGCATCTATGAGACACGTGTCCCAGGTTCACGAGGAGGTGACCCTCCAAGTGGAAGAAGGACTTCCATGCAGCCTCGCTGTGATGACTGCTTGCTGGTACTTAGTTGGACACGGAAATTGGGAAAGTAATTGAACACTACTGGTCAAGGACAAAATCGCTGTAGTGACCATGTCCAACAAAACACATCAACGACGCATAAGGTCTATAAGGAGGAACATCACAGCAAAGGAACTTTATGGGCCCGCACCCTGCAAAACCTGAAATCGCCCAAAGCCAGTCCCTGCCTGCGGATCCGATTTCTGTTCCACCAAAAACTCCACCACGGCGGTCTGCAAAAAGCATTCGTTGTGCCGGTCAACTGGATGAAAATGCAAGCAGATGCAAGAAGCATATCAGCTTGGTTGATTTTGGTTTCCGGACCCTTTTAGATGGAACTTGCTGTGCTTCTATGTAGGTGGAGGCCATCGCTATTAGGTTGGAGGCCATCGCTACTATTTCGTAACAATAAAGCTTTCTGATAACTAGAAGCTACTAGGATGTTTGTTTTATTTTGCTTTACTTGTTTTTCTCGAACATTTATGGTTTCTTAAGATGTCATGGTCTCGAAGGCTCAGAAGTGGCTTGTCATAGATCGTCGCTTCCACAGCTGTTTCTGGCCGCTGTCTGTAAATTTGCCAACACAGTCCCGCGACAGGAGAATATAAGGGGTGTTGATCAATACCCAAGTTCTGCAAACCGCAAGTGGGAAGATAAGATCACCAAAGGTGGTGCCGTGACAACAAAGTCCATCAAGTGCGAAGTGCGTTGGTTCCAAATTCGCCTGGGCCGCGCAAACCGCCCGGTGCAGCGGCAGCATCTTGGCGTTGTCCAGCACCTGCAGATCTGCCTGCGGGAACGGCTGGATGGCCCTGAGATGCTTGGTTTAGGAACAAGGACGCTACTAGGGGCTCCTGGCCTTACTACTAGGAGCAAGGACGCTACTAGTAGCTCCAGGCATCACTACTAGGAGCAAGGACGCTACTAGTAGCTCCTGACCTCGCTACTAGGAGCTCCTGACCTCGCTACTAGGAGCAAGGACGCTACTAGTAGCTCCTGGCATCGCTACTAGGAGCATGGACGCTACTAGGGGCTCCTGGCCGTACTACTAGGAGCAAAGACGCTACTAGGGGCTCCTGGCCGTACTACAAGGAGCAAGGAGGCTACTAGGGGCTCCTGGCCGTACTACTAGGAGCAAGGACGCCCGTACTGCTACTGCTAGGAGCAAGGACGCTACTAGGGGCTCCTGGCATCGCTACTAGGAACAAGAAGCTACTAGGGGCCATGAGATGCTTGGTTTTGTTCTGCCAAAAACTCTTCACCAAGAGAATCTCACCAGCGCTTCCTACAGTCCTTCGGTCAGTCGATTGGTTGGATGGTCAATAAATGGGAGTTTGCCATTTGGAAAAGCATGTGGAAGGCCGAACTGTCATGGCCATGGCTATTGTTCTGCTGGGAAATTCACTCTCAATGGTTTACAATCCACCCGAGTTGACTTCATTATCTTCATCGGTGGCAAGTTCTCGCTGAGTCCGTTTGTGTGTAGAGGTATAGAACCACACTGAAGTATAGAACCCACCCCAAAGAAGATTGGGCTCTCAAGACTCACTGCCCCCTTCAAAGTCCGTCCCAAACTCTGCAGGTTCTCCACACCATTCTGTTGTTTCGTTCAATTTCCGGTGCGAGGCGCAGCCTACGCCCTGAAGGCCACCAGAGATCGCCAAAAACACAGAAACGTGAGCTTTGTGAACTTTGGAGGATGCCTGGGAAGGCCAAGTTTGCCACGAAATCTAGGAAGCAAATGAATAGCTATCCTCGGTCCATATGTAGCTTAAGTAATCTTAAGTAGCTAGGAGCAAACATCTCCCAGTTCACCCCACTCGCCAGCTTTCTGCCCTCCGGTCCCTCCGGTCCCTCCGGTTCCCGGGCTGAAGTCACACAGCCATAAAGCCTTGAAGTAGTGAAGCAACTTCAGCGCTGTGAGGTCGCCCTGAAGGTGCAACGCGTGTCTTTGGTGGCCAATTCGGCAGGTTTACGGTTTCGCAATGCTTTAAAGCTCAAAGGTTTCCACGGTTTCGCCTAGAACCGGAGCTCTCAGACCCGAAGGCGACATTGGGTCACCAAGACATCTAAACCCACCCGGTCAAAGCAGAACTCTCCGCTCCGCTCCTTGTAGGCTGCCCAGTGTACGGCCGTGCAGCCGTTCTTGTCGCCTCGTCCGCGTCCGTTTTCGGAAGAGCAGGACGAAGTCAAAGAGCCTCTGAAGGTCTCTTGATAGAAAGAAACATCACGTGCCCTTCCCCAAGAGACAACAACAACAACAACAGCAACAGCAAGAAAACCGTATTGCTTGTTTGTGTGAGCCCAATGTAAGGAATAGTCGCCTAGTTCTAGTCATCAAAACGCCTAAGTTCACCCTCCAACGCCCTACATTTTTAGGGACTCCTAGTCCTAGTGCTCCTAGTCCTTTTTGGTGAACTGTTGTCAAACAGGATGACGAGTCCATCAACAGTGTCATGGGCTATGATAACCATGAGCCATGAACAGCAAATTGTCTATGAGAGTCATGTTCTTTTTGGGATAATTTTCAGCTGGCCCAGGACAACAGCGCCTTCTGCCAGCATCTGAGCTTGCATGTGGCTGCCCCGGTGCATGAGGAGCAAAATGCTGGGATACGCCCTCAGCGTTGAGCATGGCTTGGTATGGCAAGGTGTTTGGAAGTGGCAACTTTTGGATGAAATCGTAATAGTAGTTGAATTATGGCAATTTTGGTTGAACTGCTGGTTGGGTATTCTGCAGGAGGTAGCCAGCTGACTCAATTGTTATCTATGCGGGCCAATGCCCGACAACTTGTCATCCTCATGCATTTAGTGCTCTTGTGACATGCATCGACTCAACTCTAGCATGTCTGGGTATGCCCCTGATTGTTCATAGGCGGGTCGGTTTTTCCTTTTGTAAACCATTTGTGTTTATAAAAAGTGAGGGATAGGCATAGGTGTTTTGGCTTCTAAAATTGGAAACCAACTAGTTTATAAAATGACCAGCATAGGCAGCATAGGTCATGATAGGTTAAGATAGAAATCCACAGAAGAGACAATTTATGGAATGAGAATTGTGAATGGGGAATTCCGACCAGCCTCCGACACCTCGCCAAGTGAATTCTTATAAGATGAGATTTGTGGGTTCACCTGCCATCTACTACTGTCATTCACTCTCCAAGTTACTGAAGTTTATTAAATGACCTGTGTAAATCGATACTCCAGATCTTAGGTAGTTATCCAAAATATGTTGCCAAAATACAGGCCCTTGTGTTTATAAACTTCCCTTGGAATTTGCTTTTTATATGAGAAAGGATCGTCATTTCATAAGGCTTCATTCATGGGGGATGTCTGGATAATGTATAGCCCTAAACCTCAGCCAAGATCCTTACTCCCTTCTTGTGGCATTGGCAATACGTGGCAATGCTATTCAATGCCCATCTGTTGCAAATTGTTGGACGGGTCTTTCTGGGAATGCGTGGGTTTCGGAGGTGAACGTCGTCTTCCAACGATCTGTCTCTTCCAACGTTCCTTAGTCTGATGCTGCCGGATGTGCTGATTCCTGCTTCAGGGATCGTGAGACCTCAATGACAGAAATATCCCTTGCCACCATTGTCACCCCAGGCAAATGTTCTCCCCAATGCAGACAGGTGCAATTGTCTTGCTTTTCAGAACTCAGCAATTTGGGAGAAATACTGGAATATCATACGAATATCATCACATGAGCAGACATACAGATTCCAGGCGATTCCCGCGGCCGACACCGACGTCGAGGCGCTTGTGCTGCACGGCGATCATCAGCGCCGTGGCGCCCAGCGAGTCCTTGACCGCCAGCGAGGCCTGGCGGATGGTACTTGGACGGTTTTGGGAACCGGTGAGTGAAGCGACCAGTAACAAGGGCATCGCTACTAGTAACCAGGGCACTACTACTAGCTAGAAGCTACTAGTTTGTGAGCCTAGAGATGTCTAGAATCCATGTATTTGAGAGTGGATTTACTCATACTATGATCTACTGGGTCCTCCCCAAGACTTGATTGTAGGATGGACATCTGAGGTGGGCCTTCTACTTGGAGATTGTTGCCACTAGTGGCTTCAGTATGCAGATGGATCCCACAGACATCTTTACGTTGTTGTACATGTAGCCTCACGAAACGACTGACCTGCGAGCAGTGGTGGTTACTAGCGACTAAAAGGCAACAGGATTAACGCAAGGGCCTGATCGTCCTTTTCTGGGGCTGGTGCTTTAACATGACGTCAAAGGGGACCCGCAAGTAGCAACGAGAGCCTGTAGTCATGTCGTTGAAGGATGTTGAAGGTCAGCACAAGGGGTCCCCCTTAAAGTGAATGCATGACCCACACGAGATATAGTGTGGTATCTTTATTTCAACCTGCCAGTGCCAGCGCCGTCTTACAAGGAGTGTGTAGGGGCTTCTGGTGGCCCCAGACGTAGCTGCAGCCACATTTCCCAAATGATAAACATTTGCCAAGTTATATACATCTTCATCAACCTTCCAAACCCAGCAGTGCTCCCCTTTCGGTAGAAGTTCTGAGCACGATCCAATCTCAACCGTCGGTTCACTTTTCAATCAGCAACTAACAAAAAGACGATCTTGCATCATCCTTGATTCAGAGATATACTCGAATGGTCCAAGGGGTTGGCTGTGGTGTGAGGGTCCACCACGTGACACCTTGACCGTCCCTGTGGCCTTAGCAGCCAGCAAAGTGCGCGCCACTGGCACGTGCCCGCGCAGCACCGCCCACCTCGGCAGCGACAAAAGCTGAATTGGTTACTGATCGAAACGCAAAATCCCTGGCCAATGGGTCTCCCCAAAAGACATGCAATGGAAGAAACTGAATTCTGAACTCTTGGTGTTGCTAATTGGGGACTAGTGGGTATTGCTGCTAGTGTGGAGGCTTTGCTCGGCCTCCGAAGCTCTTCGAGCGGAAATTGGGTGGTCCATCAGCCCATTCCTCCTTGGAGTGCGGAAAAATTGATCAAAGCTTCCGAGTACTCAGTGCATCCAAGAAATAGAGCCTCGCCTACGAAAAAGACAATGAGTGCGGCATCCAGTAGCTTTTCCCAGCGTGGGCAGCGCCACAACTTCGGATTCAAGGCCTTACCTGTCCACGCCGGAGACCAAGTGCTCCCAACACCAACGCCAAGCGAATCTTCCACCTCCTCCGTCTGTTCAACTTCGGTGGCGGTCACTTCGTCGTACATACTGGCTTCCTAAGGATTGAATTTTGTCGATAGGTGTCTTGCATCATGAACCCGATAATGAGGACAACCCAGCATTGAATATGACCATGAAGGCTTTGACAGGGACAGGGTGGTCTATGTGGCCAACGGACAGTGCTGTGTCCGCCACGCCCATGACAAACTCGACCACCTTTAGTCCTACCTGTTTCCCAGGTTTGAGGACGTCAAACCTGCAAGACGCACCAGTATCGATTGACAAATCGCACCGATACGCTGTGAGCACTGCTGTGAGCAGTATGGAATATAGCGTATGCTGTGCGGAAGTTGAGTCATTTCTCAACGCTGTGCATTGTCCCTGATCGTCAACACCCCCATGACGTCGAGACGTCGATCGGCATCGTCATCGCGAAGATGGGGTTCCTCAGTCCGATTGCCCAGCTTGAGCAAGGACCTCTGTCCAGGAATCATAATAATGAGAGCAGCGGAATGAACCAAGATCTGAAATATAGCAGCAATACAAATTGACGATAGCTTCTGCTGGAGCATGGCCCCATGCAGGGCAATCGCAGTCAGCTCAAGCGGCCAGCCGCACGTCTGGTAGACGCTAAGCGTCTGTCCAAAATGCCTTAAGAACGTCCAGAAGCTCAGCCGAGGCTTGCGAGACTCCCAAGCTCAAAGGTGGATTCAAGGATCGCGACCGCCACCCTGGTCACGCTGCTAGTCTCTGTTTTGGGTTCATAGCGCCATAGCGCGCAAGAAGTATCATCAGTTTACATCCCCCTCCAGCCCGAAGGTCATCAACAAACGAGGCCGCCCCCGAAAGGTGTTCTAATTTTTGTGTGGCAGGGGGGGGGGCGCCCACACGACCTCTACCCCGGCCGGGGCCCCGGCAAAGGGGCGGGCACGACTAGTACTAGAGGAAGTAGCACAGAACCCTTCTTACAACCCCTCGTAGCACGGAATCCTTCTCAAATGCCTCATAAAGCAAGAACCGTAGCGGTTAGTGCCTGAACACTAAAACAATTAATTATAGCGCCATGGCGGGGGGCGCCCCCCCCGCGCCACAAAATCTGCACCTCATCTCATTCCCTGCGCCTGCCACTCATTTGCTTTGCACTCACAGGATCCTTCTTCAAGGCCCTCGTAGCACAGGATCCTTCTTTATGGCCTGTAAGAAGGGTTCGAGGAGGGGGGGTCCCCACGACTAGTATTAGTTTTCTCAGTTCGAGGGGGGGGGGGCCCACGACTACTACTACTTCCTCGTAGCACAGGATCCTTCTTTATGGCCTAAGAAGGGTTCGAGGAGGGGGGGGTACTACTACTTTTCCCAGTTCGCGTCCTGCAACAAACCCTCAAGTGTGGTAGGCCTGGCAGGCTTCACGTGATTCGGGATCTCATCAACTACAGAGCGGATTGTGGGTGGAACTTGTACATGGAGGATTAGCCGACCCGAGTCTTCAAAGGTGAAAGGTAGGTCATGCGCGTGGGACCGATTTTCGATCTTGTTATCTTGTTCTGAGATCTCAGAGCATGACCTCTACATGAGCCAATCACCACATTGACTTCTATAGGTCCCTTTTTGAGATGTGGAGGGTTGACAGGGAGAAAAGTGTGAACGATTTGAGAAACAACACCTCTCAACAGCCTCAGCAGCTCAAAGCACCTCAACCGCAGACCCCCGAATCCTCTTGTCAGCTTCACATGTCGCTCGATGTCGCTCGTGACCCCGCATCTCAATCATCTCACACTAGTAGCGATGCCCTTGTTACTAGTAGTCTCTTGTTCTTAGTAATGCCAGGAGCCCCTAGTAGCGTCCTTGCTCCTAGTAGCGATGCCCTTTGCTCCTACTAGCTTCTTGTTCCTAGTGGTACGGTCAGGAGCCCTATAGTAGCCCTTGTTACTAATTAGTAACGCTACTCAGCCCAAAGACATCAGTGGCGTCTGCTGGTTCTTGGCGACCGAGTCCACCTGGGCGATCGAGTCCACCGAGCCGGAAGAGCGGCCATGAGCGACGCCAGAGCGACCTGTCCGACCAGTCCGACCTCTGCGTGCCCCTTTCGTAGCGTTCTTGTTGTCACTAGTAGCGATGCCAGGAGCCCCTAGTAGCATCCTTGCTCCTAGTAGTAAGGCCAGGAGCCCCTTTCGTAGCGTTCTTGTTACTAGTAGCGATGCCAGGAGCCCCTAGTAGCATCCTTGCTCCTAGTAGTAAGGCCAGGAGCCCCTAGTAGCGTTCTTGTTACTAGTAGCGATGCCAGGAGCCCCTAGTAGCATCCTTGCTCCTAGTAGCCCCCAGTAGCGTTCTTGTTAGTAGTAGCGATGCCAGGAGCCCCTAGTAGCATCCTTGCTCCTACTAGTAAGGCCAGGAGCCCCTAGTAGCGTTCTTGTTACTAGTAGCGATGCCAGGAGCCCCTAGTAGCATCCTTGCTCCTAGTAGTAAGGCCAGGAGCCCCTAGTAGCGTTCTTGTTACTAGTAGCGATGCCAGGAGCCCCTAGTAGCATGCTTGCTCCTACTAGTAAGGCCAGGAGCCCCTTTCGTAGCGTTCTTGTTACTAGTAGCGATGCCAGGAGCCCCTAGTAGCATCCTTGCTCCTACTAGTAAGGCCAGGAGCCCCCAGTAGCGTTCTTGTTACTAGTAGCGATACCAGGAGCCCCTAGTAGCGTTCTTGTTACTGTAGTATCCCCTTTTGGGGTGCATGGAGTTGGGTCGTATGCAAGTCCCCTTGATTCGATCTGTTCATCTCTACCATGCGAGAACCAAGGACCATTGATTTTGTTTCAACACCTTCAACACCTCGGGTTGGAGTCCATCGGATCGCTAGCAAGATGGAGGCCATCGCTAGCAGGTTCTTTTTCGATTAGGTTGGAGGCCATTGCTATGAAAGACGAGTTGAAGTAGATGGAGAGCTCCTCCATGCTCCTCCCCTCTGACTTGGTACTCAACAGTGTTGTATGAGAGTGCTTTGCTCTCGTGAAAGCCTCATATCATATCTTACGATAAGGTTTCAGTGTTCAACAACTTCGCAGCTGTCCAACTCTTGCATGCGGCTACATGTGACCAAGTAAGAATACTTTTCAAAGTCCAAAGGTGCTGCATCACTCATGCAAAACGTCGAGGTTTTGAGCCCAATTGTCATACAGTAACTATAGGATGCGAAGGACATATGATGCACAAGGAGCAAAACAAAACCCATTTTCGTTCTGGCATTTTCTGGCAACCATCGTGTCAACATGAACACGGTGCGAACCAATTCCCCCCGGCGCCGATCGAGGGAAGGTCTACAGTTTCACACCGGGGGCTCCGAGTTCTATGGCGTTCAGCTTGGCCACTGGAAGCTTCTGAGCCAATGCAGCTTTGACGAAGTCCTCACCCGGTGGCACTTAAAGCAACGGAACATGTAATGATACAAAGGCATCACCATGAGCTGTAGTGTATCATCAACTGCAAAGACACATGGACCGAAAGCTCTGGAGATATTAAATGAACACTCTTTTTGTAGAAAGTGCTGACAAACGCCGAACGACGCACGCGGACCTTTTCAGCCAAGTTGCGACTCACCACAACAAGAGAACCTCATCAAAATCTTCAGGCACCCGCATCATCACATATACTCCCAAAAGGCCATGAACAAAGCAATGTAGGTCGGTTCCCAGCTTCCAATCCCTGGTACAAACATGTGCAAATGACCCCACTCCCGGATGCTCCGAACGGGGACCCGTTCCCACACTGCACACGGCGGCTCCTTGTTGCCCACCAAGGCTGCCCAATGCATCAACGAGTGGCCATCCTCCAGGTGTTCGACTTGGAATGAATTTGACCCATTTTCGTGAGAGATCCCCAAAACCAGTCCCGTCCAGTGCGCCAGTGCCCTGTTGGAGTGCCCTCTGAAATCATCAACATCACCACAGATTGTTCTTGCCACTTTTGCTCCCACAACATATTCAATTTGAAATTTGATGAGCTCAGTTTTTGAAGTCGTCGAAGCTAGGGGGTCTCACAGACCTGGATAGACCTGGTTTAGAGACTATTCTCAACACGACATCATGGATATCTTCATCAGCACCGGCTGTCAACCAGGGATGCATTGATTCTCCCACAGCCCGCACCGGTACTAGCAAGTTAAGCTTCCCCAGGAATCTAGGAACCAAATCATTGGTGCAAGCGCTTCCTTGAAGAAGCGTGAGCTATCCTGCGTCCATATGTAGTAGCTTAAGTAACTAGGAGCGAACTTCTCCCTTTCTTAAATTTAAAACGCATTAAGTAGGCGCCTACTTAATTGAGTAAGGAGGCAGGGCCACAGGCTAAAATAAGAACAGTCTACCGGGGTGGCCATTGGCTCGCTCTTTCGAGCAAAACCACTCTCTTTGTGGCAAGGACCCTTCGTCACATTGGACTTCTGGCAGGGAAGCCTCTGATGTTCGTTGACGGTTGTCTCTGAACCTGAGACAATTCCCTCGCAACGAGCGATGTGTGGCGGTCCTCATCTTGGCAGTGCCAAAAGTCCGGATAGGCCTCAGCAGTTTTCGGTGATTGATCCACTCGGGTGCTGACTCGGAATGGGACGCGCCAGTCGGCCACATGGTGGGCAGGAACGGATACAGTAATTGTGCATCTGTCTGCAACCCAACACACCTCCAGGGTGTTATTCTTCTATGAATTCGATCTAAGTAACCACATATACTCCAACCGTATTAGTCAGTTGAAATCGTTCCGCAAAGCAAAATTGCTTTCTGATGACTGATATTTATGTCAAATTTGAATCTATGTTCGACCCTCCACCATCACTGGGATGAGGCAAGACTTGGAAGAGGTCGTTTCTCACGAGCAAGGACAGCAGCGGCTCATTAAACACACTGGAAGTTCCAGGCAACGGCAGTTTACGCCCTGCCTCGCAGTTAGTAGAACCACATAAATCACATAGCAAAGGGATTAAGGACATGACCAAAGACAAGTGGCATATCAGAATGAAACAGTTAGTCCGTTAGTCCCTCACAGTGGCTTAGTGCAAAACCAACTACAGTATATTATATTCGATCAATGTTTGAATGGACCAATGCGAAGAAACCATTCTCATCACTCTGAACTCACTCCACTTGTAACGGTCGATCAGGTCTTAGTTCAGGCCTCCTCTGAAATGAAATGTTGTGGAAACTGATTTCGCTGAGACCAGGATAACCAGGTGGATCCTCAAGCAGTTCTCTGGTTGATCACGACCAGCCGATTCGCCGCTGACGCCTCAAGGAGCTTCAGGGCCACCTCGAAGTTTTGCTGCCTCAAAGCCAGTTCTGTCTGTTCAGTCGGAATTCGGAACACCTGCTGGGGGTGTTAAGAAGCCACCAGGAACAAGGCACCGTACTACGAGAAGCAAGACGCTACTAGTAGCTCCTGGCATTTCTACTAGTAACAAGAAGCTACTAGTAACAAGAACCAATGCGGTTGTACCATGTTGTACCATGGTTTTTGGTATCTGACCCAAAAGCCTCCAGGATGCAAGACCTTCCGAGAGGAATATCAAGAGCAAGTTTGCTTGGAAACACTGGGTGGATGAAACCCGAACAAAAAGCATCACTTACCAAGCAAAAGATCAACTAACGGCACGTTGGGTGTTTCTTCAGATCAGCACCCTCACCACCAATTAGCACGGTTGGGGTACGTTGGGTGGATAAGTAGCCACATAAATATTGCATGAGATACTGTAAAAAGAATAATCAAGCAAGCGAACAAAGAAATACACAGACACAAACAACGACACAAAGAGAGAGAGAGAGAGAGAGAGAGAGAGAGGGAGAGAGAGACAGAGATCCACTCAGTCACTCCCCAGTCCACGAACCCTGCCTCGCCAGCAAGAAAAGGTCCTCCGCTTTGGGCCCTTGCGTGGCCTGGCACTGGCACCATGGGTGACCACGGTTGGGCCTTTCCAACATCACTGGGAAGCAAGAGATCGTCCCCGACGATACTCCACCTGGCTTGCATGAGTTATCAGTCTGCTAGTTAAAACAAAAAAGCAGCTGTTGGGCCGACCTTTGGCGTGGCCAGTGCAGTTCTGTCGAAAGAATATACAGTCTATCTCCAAGTCTGGAAGTCGCCTGTGGAACTCCGTCTAAAAGGTCTATCTGTCCATCGCGAGTCATTCCATCATTTGCAAGTTCTTTGACACCAAATCTGAACAACCTAGCAGCAAGAACGCTACTAGGGGCTCCTGGCCCTACTAGTAGTAACAAGAAGCTACTATGGGCTCCTGGCATCGCTACTAGGAGCAAGGACGCTACTACTCAGCCAATCTCAAAATCCAATCGTCATGGCAAACGTCTCAGCGAGGATCTTCCTTGCACTGTGCTGTCGATGGAGGGTTCATCGCCGCTGAACATGTTTTCGCCCCCGTTGCTCCATTGCTTCGATGGTTGCTCCAGCCCAAGACTGCAGGTCCCCAACAGCAGGCATACCGGCATGCCTGATCATCCAGGACTCCAGGACGTCTCGTACAATCTTGCTGAAAAGAGCGGAAAGGTGGTGCGCTTATCCTTGCCAGTTTAAAGCTCTGTGAGTATTCCATGCCTACACAGTCAGGCTGTGGTAAAATGGTTTTGCAAATGGCGTGCATGATTCTCTTTCTAAAGAACCTCGTTCAAAGCGGGAAATGTGGACGTTTGGCTGCCCAACTGGTGTGTGAATGTGTCCAGCATAAAGTAGAACTTCAAACCAATATTGAAGCTTGAACATGGAACTTTTATATTGGAGCATCCAGGTATACACTCCAGAACTTGGACGTAGCTGAAAAAGCTATCACACCAACGTGCATGGCTGCCTTCGTGTCGAACATGCTCGCGGCTTCACTCGTTCCGTGCCCCATGTTCGGTGGAACACAGAGTGGATTTGAGGACTGCGTTAGGCATTCATTGAAGTCCATGGGAATCCACAAAAAAACATAGGAAGCAACCCAAAGGGAAAACACAACACAATAAATTTCACAAACAAACAAGAACAAGAACAACGAAAACATGGAAGACCCATGACCCCCTGTTGAACTGTAGCTCTAAAACTCCGCTCACCCCAGCCATTCCTACCGATTCTTGACCGCCAGACCCTGGCGCCTCTTCCACTACCTCCGGTGCCTCCACGGTGGCGATTTCGGCGCCTCCGGGATCAAAATGGAAAAAGGGAACCATGCTGCTAGTAGCTATTTGCTACTAGTAGTAATGCACTCAGCTACTAGTACCGCTGCACCTGTTACTCGCTTGTTCACATGGCTTGGCTTGGGATTGAGGTTGACAGCTCTTTTTATATTCTCAGAAAAGCATCAATGAAACTCTAGATTCTAGATGGCAAAGCCCACACACGCTGCTTGGCAATAGTGAAGGTTTCTGGGGAGTCCCCCAGTTCCCCCTCCCACTGATTGGTAGTGTGCCCATCCTATCAACTTACACAACCGGCGCAAGACATCCTGAGCCAGCCAGTGGCAGTGTTCCGACCAATCTACGAGGCGCATGGCAAGATTGCTATTAGGTTCTTATTTGCTATTAGCAAATCAAATCAATAGTCTGCAAACATCTGACAACCACACAGGAAATGAAACGATTCATCATCATTCATCGGTTCATCCTCTTGTGTAGTGCTTCCTATATATGTTTCATGGGGCTGAATGTAGATGTAAGTGGAAACATGCCAGAAAAGGGTCATGCCTTTCCAGTGTACATCAGTGCACTAAACAATACGTTGGGAACTGCCTGACATCTGCAATTGCGACACAACTAGCTTCTTGACCTGGCAAACGTTCTTTTTTCCCTTAGGACTTTGTAGAAACCATGTGAATGTAGATTAAAATACAAAAAATCCAACCAACCTGAACAATCAAATGGTTTCCAAATGGTTCAAAGGTCTTGACCGACATCCACTGTGACCTCTTACTGTAACTGTGCAGCCAGTTGTCGCCTGCATCGCCTGCCACCTTCGTGTCGGCCTGGATCACCTGGCGCAGGACAGACTGACCCACTCTACAAAGTGTGTTTTTTCGAGGAGACGCCCCTTCTGGGCCTTGCCAATGTTTGATGATTGAGGTTGAAACCATGGAAACTTGGGATAAATATAACGCCAACAATGGATTAACAAAACCACACAATTAGTTTGGTCCGCCTCGGGCCCTGCTTACTAATTTCCACTTCGAAGACCTTCTCGCCATGTTTGACAATTTTGAACACAAACCGCCCCAATTAGTTTGGTCAACCTTCCCTTGGGGCCAATTATTTTTAGCAATACAACCGCATTGCATTTTGTTGGCCTTTATTTGCTCTATAAGTTTAAACAAGTACGAACCAACTAATCACTGATTTGTTCAAAGTTGTCCCCGGTAATCCCGATCCCTCCATTGCTTCACCCCCAGAATATCTTGACCCCACTGGCGTGGAAAACATATTATCCCGGAGAGAGACTCCAAACATCTTGCGTCTAAAGGTCTAAGGTCCAAAGGTGTAGATAGGTGTAGAAGCAGGAGGATCTAGGCGTGTTGGGCTCCAGAGAGAGGTGATGGTGGTGATGATGGTGATGATGGTGGTGATGAAGGTGGTGTTAGTGATATGATGATGCTGGTGATGGTGGTGGTGATGTTGGTGATGTGATGGTGGTGGTGGTGGTGATGGAGGTTCACAAACCAAGTGTAGGGCTTGGCGACGGTGTAGGTCCAGAGTTCGGTCCAGAGCACACGACATATAAAAACACATTTGCTGTGCCTCCTGCACTTCAAGGCCCGCAAAGTCTTGCGCATGCCATGAAATGTAGAATCTACTGCCACGAAATCTGCTGCCTCGAGGTCCACAAAGTGCTCCGCTTGCCACGAGATCTACACTGCAAGGTTCACATCGCGCAGCCCTGGCAAGGCGATTCGCAGCAAAAACACTTCTACATGAACATGAAGATGCCAAAACGCAGCTTTCGATTGAGGCTTCCTCCGACTTCTGAAAACGAGCCACATGTCCAAAAGTCACGACTCACTGCACGCGCCACGAAAGCTTTACATCGACATAAGGCCGCTCATCTCCTGCACCTGTCTCAAAAAGTCTACTTTCGACCACCAAAACGCAAGGTTTCCTTTGCGCATGCCACGAAGAGTGATCATCAAGTCCCAAAATGTGTGCGCCACCGCAGTGAGAGCGCAGTCTCGAAGAGCATCCGCTCGGGCCCAGCAGATTTTGCGAGCCCGTGCAGTCGAAATGCAGTTCGAAGATCTCGAGGTGAATGAATGCACTGTAAATAGCAGCGAATTAGCCAGACACGCCGATGAGCACCTCCGATCAGACACCCGTCCTTAACCCATACAGAGCCGTAAGAAACCCTAGCGTGGACACACTGTTTGGGGACTCCCTCCGCATGAAGAGATTTGGTCGTGGTGACCTCTCCTGATCGACTCCCCAGACTATCCCGACATATCCCGACCTTCTGACGCCCCAACTAAGAATCCTTTTAGGCGGGTTCTTATTCCGATGTTGAACTAATGCTCAGACAAATGGCAGAAGCGTTTGGGTTGGAGAATGTTGGACCGACATCGACTGGTAACTCTGGGCCTTCTGGGGCATCTACTGAAAGAAGCTATACCAAACTGAAAACTCCAAGGTCCTCCAATCTGAAAATTTTAACATAGGCACCACAACACCAGCCCACCACCAGAATCGCGAGATCACACCTCCTCCGCCTCCGGCTCGGCCGAGGTCATCGCCTGTCTTGGACAGGTTCAGCCCGTCGAAAAGGGAAGACTGACCGCTGCGATAAGCGTTGCTTTGATTGCCTTGGATACATGCTTTGCAACGTGTGAAATCATGCGAAAGATCCTTTAGATGAACCTTTTGCATCTATGTTTACGTCCTACCAAAGGTCGAACAAAGGTCGCTTCAGAACACGCATACGTTGGACGAATTGCTATGCCCTGGTCTTGTAGTGTTTGTCAATGTCCAAACCTGTGGAGAGTCATTTCCCCCCATGATATCACCGTGGCCTGTGGTAGTCCCTTCCTCAGAACACGGATCAATTTAAGGACTCTGGATAAAGCCTTTCATTTTCAGGGTCTCTCGAATGTGCAACCCAACATGAATAGGTTCGCTGAACGAGAAGCTTGATTCCTTTTGACCCACAACCACACGGAAACGGAACACAAAAGCGCCTCTGAAGCAGAGTCCGGGCACGGCGTATGGTCTTGCGATGTCTTGTGATGTCCGAGTGAGAACACTTGGTGCTTCGTGGTCCTTGCAAGTCCGTTCGACAAACAAAGGATATCTCCCAGCTTGGTCGGCTGTAAGTGAGGTCGGCTAGTCTAGCCAAAGCAGGTGTAAGCTACGAGTATAAGCTACAACAGCTTGGAATGAATCTTCAATGGTTGAGCTATGTTGAGCTCACCACCTAAATATGAACAGTCTGCCTGATGCTCCTGATGTGGCCTTCTAGCTGGTTTCGGAGATGAAAGCCCAACTGGTTCCCGCAGGGTCAGTGCCGTTCTATGTTGACAATCGACTGATTCGAGCTGGCGCACTGAAACTTGCGGGTGCCATTTTGAAGTATGCGACCATGCACCTGATCTCGGATCCACTTAGATTGTTTTTAGGTGTCTCTGCACGGATTTGATCTTGTCATATCTTGCTTCCATGTTTTTTTGCGGCTTGTCCTAAAGGCCAGAAGCTCAAATGCGCGGCATACAACAGTGATGGATGGTCATCTGCACAATGTTTCAAAGGGTGAAACTGTTCAAAAGCCTTTTCGCAGCTGGTGAATCCCCGGTGAACCCGGTTCCAAGTCTAGTGCAAAACCATGGAGGTTGGATGAGTCGATGGTCGTGCGGGCTTTCCGTCCCACATTCGTGCTTAGTCAACAGTACGATGTCCTGTAGGTGTTGTCCTTGGCTTCGCTTCCCAAATACTGCTTGGATATCTGCACCGTGATCATAGTCTTTGACTTCTTTAGCTTCGTTGGTTCTACCAAACTAGCCGCAGAACCTCACCAGCAGCCTTTTTGGGAAACCACATAGCTAGCGCCGTGGGAGCTCTCCATCCTGGAGACTCCAGCGAGAAACTGCGGTTGATTGATTCACCTGCTGGTTCCGTCGATCGATTCACGTGCTGTTACCAGTGGACAAGCAGCTTCAGGAGACATGCAAAGAGGAGTTTCAGCAAGTGACAAACACTGCAAGGTACGTTGTAAAGGACTTACCGCAAGACATAGGAGTTTGACGATTGTGATCATGTGCTTTACTATTGAGAGATGAGATGCACGTTCATCGTGTCCCAATGAAATCGCAAGCTTCGGGGGCAGCTTGCAAGAAATGGAGTTTCAATGTAAAGAACTTGTACTGTCACAGTGCTTCGCAGAAGTCCCTGGGTAGGCCTACTCAGGCACCTACTAGCAAAGACTTGAGCTACAAACACAAAATGCTACCAAGCGGTCTCCCATCCAAAAGCGGAAATCAAACAGAACAGGCTGACATGTTCATGTCTGTCACCACCCGAAGTTGCAAGTTTTGGAGACAACAGGAGAACTTCTCCTTCTGAACCGAACATCTTATTGCTTACACACATTCTTTCTATGCCATGCTGTGTCTCTTGCCCCAACAGGCTGAAGGCCCTTGAGTCTTGTGCAAGAACCCTACGAAAAGAGGAAGGGGCCAAATCCTGGTGCTTCGCATTTGGGGCCTTTGCAGTCCGGCTTCGTGACTCCGTCGAACAGGCTGGCTGCATTGGCATACCGGGCACCGGGGACGGGGGTTTCTATTGGTATATTTGGGTTCTTCGATGTAGCGGCCTTTCTCCAGTCTCCCGCTGGTTCTGAGTAGCTGTTTCTTTAGCCCGCTCCTCCCCCCCTCCTGCGCGCACAGGGGGGTAGGCCGCGACTCGTACCTACAAGTAGCTACTACTGACAGGATACAGGATAGCTCGCGCTTCTTCAAGGAAGCTTCCTTGAAGAAGCGCTCGCACTAATGATTTGGTTCCTAGATGTTTAGGGACACTGAACATTTATAGCTACTACTAGCGATGGCCTCCAACCTAATAGCAGTGGATATGAATCTAATTAAATATGTCTCTAGAAAGGGGTGCCTCTGAAATGGTTCTTTCCCCATTGATCAAAACTGAGGCAGGGCGGCCCACAAAAACGAGTCACAGGAGTGACCCTATTCGGGATGTCGCATCTTTCAGCGTCCGAAGTCCATGTCACCTGTGAGCTACTAGGAGCAAAGGGCATCACTACTAGGAGCGATCGGACGCTACTAGGAACAAGATGGAACAAGAACATATTCAATGCATGTCAATTTCAATTCTTAGTTCAAGACTAACACATCGCCGGTGGGAAAAGAAGCAAATGCGGGTCAATCCCCGTGTGACTCGCAGGTCAACATTGCCTGGGTGGGTCTTTGCTCGTGTAGCGGTACAAACAATGCCCAAAATTCGCCCAGGGTGTTGCAATTTCTTTGATTTTCACCATACAGTAACTTGTCATGAACTTACGCAGAGCCATGTAGAACCCAATTGGCTTCCCTGCCAGTTCAATCCTTTATAACCGAACCAGCCATTCCAAGAGGAGCTGGAGATACAGTATCCCCGCTTTTCAAAAAGACCAGGGAGCCCAATCATCAAACACTTTAAACAATGAGAATCCAACGACACACACACACAAGGCCAAACAGCAGAACTTGCACCAAACACGAAATCCTCGACACAGATTGGCCCAACGACATCCTCATCTTTGCAGCTCGACCAAAACAGGTCCAGATGTGGTTTCACCATGAAAAATGCTTCATCGACTGTTCATGTAATTTTGGTGACCACCGTGAGACAGCCTACCAAAGAGCCACTTCGAAGTTGCTTGTTTTGTCCTTTGATTGACAATAACGGTTTTACTAAATCAATACTGAAAAAAAAGCTGGACATGTACACGTTAATACCCTTCACACTCTGCGGCAAACAGAGATGTCCGCTGCACCAGCGCTGGAGGAAATCATGACAGTCGTTCGTTCTGGTCTTACCCTGGCGACCTCCCAAAAGGCATTCTTTTTCGCAGTGTTGTCTCCACTAAAACCCAGTGATAAATGGGAGAGGGACAGTTCACGTGTACTTGCCTCTTTTTCAGATGTTTCACCGCAAACATCCTCATGCCCGATGAACCAGGTTCCATTCGGCTTTTCCTCTTGTTTTCCTTGGTTAAACATTGAAACAAGAATTTGTTGGCTGTACTGAAACATACTGAAACCACACCCGCATCGAATTCTCCTGCTCCGGACTGATTCTCCAGGGGCGCAGGATTTCACCCAAACTGCTCTGCAAACCCGCGGCCGTGAACCGCGCAGTTCATGTGGTTTCGCGCCCTGCAGGGCGATGTGTGGCAAATGCGGTGCGATTCTGGGCCCAGGCTGCCCAGGTGAAGGTGGTGCGGGAAAAGACATGCTATTCTCTGCACCTGAGAAACCCCAAAGACACTTGAACAGGCCCTGGAACGGACCTTTTTTAATTGATGCATGGATCTTCTGGACCATGGACTGCTTGGAACAGTGAATGCAGCGAATGCCTTCATTCAAAAGCTTCGATGCATCTCCCCGCCGACGATGATCCCTGCCACTGGCTTTGGCGATGGCGGTCGGCGATGGCGACAGCGGCATCTCGTCACGACGCATCCTTTGGTTGATCGGAGTCTTCTCAGTTTGCTCCTGGTGAAGACGTAGGGCGCTGCAAACTGAGGAGCATACTCCTCCTTAGATGCTTGGAGAGGGATATGAAAACGGTCCTTGGTGGTGAATGAATCGTGCTCCCTTCGATTGGCGCAACCGATTGTTCGTCTTGGCACCTTCAAAGGTGGACGTCGTCCCAATGAATTGTTCAGCATCTGAGTCTAGATTGACTCCACGAGCCTTCTGTCAGCAGGACAATCCCAGCAGTTCAGTGACTTGCAACCTGAGCCACATCACCTCGAACCATAGCTTCATTTGCGCTGTTCATCAAAACATCGCACCGTATAGGTTTCAAACCTCCTGACCATTGATCGGTGCCCTACCTCTTTTTGCGCCATCGGAGGACCCTCCGATCACCCTTCATCAATGATAGATGGTAGTATCTAGTAAGCGAAACACATGTGCAAGAACACTGATCTGGTTCCGTTAGAACCCCAAACATCCGAACCTGGAGCATCTGAGCAAAGACATCCAAAAAACTATCCAAAACCTGCTTGGAACAGTCACCTTTGGGACATCTGTAGCTCCTTTTGGGGATAAAGCTCCACACTCCCTGACCAACGGGCCTCTGTCTTTGCCCTCAAAACCAGGACCACCTCAGTGCGTGGAAACCAGGTCGCAAACCACCTCAATATGAACTCAGCCGTCTGGTTGATGCCTGACACGACTGGAGTGATGCCTTTTTGCGGTAGTTGCAGTCACTTAGATACCTTCCACAGGAAGCAGCTTGGTCGGTAGAAACCTTGAAGAACTTCATGCAGCTTTTGCATCCTGAGAAAAACAGAGAGCACAAAGGTTCATCCGTCTTTAGGCTTCGGTACATTGGTACTTACTTTCAGGAACCCGTGGCATTGGACTCGGACACATTCATCATTGCACTGCCCCTCCTTGCTGGGCGACACCGAAAGATAAGACATTCACCAATTCAGACTAAAGGAGTTCTTTTCTTAGAGTTGGGTATCTACTGGCAAATCAGGGACGCTTGGAAGGCTCCGTCACTCCACCAAGGGCCCAAACGAACTTTCCTTGGCGAAAGCGACCTCTCTAATTATCATCAGCGACTGCAGCACTGTCTCCAACAGGTCGCACAACAGCACCACCTCCAGAATTCCAATCGATCATTTTGCCCGACTCGTTTATTTCTTGACCGTCGGCCTGCTTGGCTCAGGGTAGTCCACTTCGTTCCTTTTACTTACCCGATTGCCCCAATTCTCAACTCCTCGACCCATCCTACATTCACTTCTCCTGGCCTTTCTGCTAGGAACAAATAGCTACTAGGAACAAGAAGCTACTAGGGGCTCCTGGCCTTACTATTAGGAGCAAGGACGCTACTAGGGCTCCTGGCATCGCTACTAGGAGCATTCTTGCTACTACTAACAAGAAGATTCTACTCGTCATTGTCACATGTCATATATACCTATCATGCATCCGCTTCGGCCAAGCTTCGCCAGGATCCACACCACACCTGACAGAGTGCCCACGAAGAAAGACCGCCATTTGCGCACAAGACC